TCACACACACACACACTCACTCACACACACACACACACACTCACACTCACATACACACTCACTCACACACACACACTCACACACACACACAAACTTTCAAACACTGTGTGCCAATAAACTCCCAAAATAATCTGCTCATTTGAGGAATGCACTGCAAGTAACCTGTGACTGCAATCATTACTAACCACTGAAAAGTGAGCAGAATAGACGTTCAAATGGGTTCATGTTGCTAAATCTTTTCAGGATTTGTTTTGCTACACACAGAAACTGCCAGAAATATCACACACACACACACACGATAAAAAGAGAAATTAATGTTGCAAACATCTTTTATGAAGTGAAGGACATCACATCTTTATGCCTTGAAAGCTTTCTTTAATAAAACATTCTGCTGATACATTTGATATGAAGTGTAAATCTTGTTAAATACTAGCTAAACAAGCATTTGAAAGTGTTAGTTTGCTATTCCTGGTTTGCATGAAATGGTTTTGATATTTTCTCATACAATGGAAATCATGTTAAGAAACATTACAAATATATATATATATATATAAAATAGTGGGTTGAAAACTGTTCCCACATTGAATTTTGCAAGCACGCAGCCGAAATGTTCATGCTGGAATGTCTCAAACCATTCAATTCTTATCTGCAAGACTGGGATGTTTCTCAAAGTGCAGAAGCACGTTAACGCTAACGATCATGCCGAATGCCACATTAGAGGAATAATTGACATAATAACTTGATTTAAAGGAAGGACATTTTGAATGTAACCTTTTATTTGGTCCTCAGATTCGCTCAGGGAAAAGTTTTGGCAGAACTGCTCGACAACATTTTTTCAGGGAACATTCGCTGGCCACTGAAATCAAGCCAGACTACAGCCCCATTAAAACCTGAAGTTAAAAACAGATTTGGCCTTGAATTCATTTGTAACAGGAGGTCCTTTGTGCGTTTCTATGAAAGTTGAATAACAGGCTTAGATTGAGAACTTCATGTCTTCTGAGAACTTTATATGTTTCCACATTATTTTCAAACACACTCTTAAAGCCCACAAGAGTCTGAAAGTCTGACCTCTCAACAGCAGCAAAAGTCAAAAGAAGCTAAATATGTTTGCTAAGCCATAAACCTACAAATCCCAAGAGCTGTGCTTCTCCACCATGTTTCTATTGCTCTGTGCCAATAATCACACAGGTCAGCGTGACCTGCGGGTCAGGGAGGCTTTCTAGAACAGGGTCATGACCTCAGGATCCTGTGTTTTTGCAGCCGCACTCACGGATCAGACTCACTGAGGACAGAACCAAACTGCTCCATTCATCCACGTAGAGAAACGGGAGGATTTCGTGAGCGGTCGGCTTACAGCACTGTGGGAAGACAATGAAGATTACATCTGAGCCCAGAGAAAAGATCATCTGAAGCAGTTCTTTAGTCTGAAGGCCATAGATGAGAGGAAACATGTTTGTGTAAAGCATTTCAGAACAGAAATCAAAACAACTGAACATGATGTAGAGGAAATGTACCTGCGCAGACGCGTCTGCAGTCTCAGAGCAGCGGTTCACGCCGCAGGATCGGCACTGGACGAAAGTGATGCTCTCTGGATAAACCACCCAGCGGTCCCAGCCCAGATCTGACACATTTACACAAAACAAGACATGCATGATGAGCCCAATCTCAGCAAAGCTGCCCAGGTCACATTTCACCCCGAAACCAATAGGAAAGTAAAGGACTGATATCATGTCTAAAGAAAACGAAGCCTTGCTTTCATTAATGACGTGTGAAGTATTTATACATTGTGCTCACATTTATTGTAGTTGTAAGGCCTTTTTTTCATGCTGATTTTAACTACAAAAAAGTTGCAGCAATGAAAATTTAAGAGTCGTAGTAGGATGCATCTGAACGCTCACCTTTAATGAAAACCTGCGAGGAATGTTTGCAGCATGTCAAGTTTCCGGAGTCCTCAGGAAAGGTTGAGTTACCTCCTAAATAGACAAGAGATCAAGTTTACCAGAAACCAGACCATAAGCCAGATCTCTGGGGTTCAACGTACCTGGTGAGTATGGCGTGGTGCTTTCCAAAGTGGCTTTCCACTGGTCACGCAGATGATTCATCTTCGACACGGACACACGAGGCTCCCGCTGGAGGTTTAGAGATTCCAGAAGGATTTTCCTGATTTCCAGTTCTCTGCATCTGCAACAAAACACACATATCTGCAATGCATTGCAAACCCATATTGTCATCACACCTTTGCAGAGCTTGTGTATGTGCGCCTGTCAAATTGCAGCCAAATGTTTAGGAGTGCAGCCGTGTACTGCCAGAGCTTCGGGATGTTTGTGAAAGTTCAGCGTTTGACGCTGTAAGAGAACACCGGAGAAGACGGGAGATGCCCTCATTTATATCTCCAGAACATTATGTGGGTCTTTGCAGTCAGTCTGTACTGTACACAAAACACTGCAGTAGAGTCCAGAGCAAGAAAAGCTTTCTGAAAATATCCAGTAATTCTCTTTTGGTCAGTCGAGCACGATGAGGTCAGTTTGACAGCCAGGAGGGTTTGAGTCTCAAATGGAAGAACAGCGTGATGTGATCGTAATGAGGTTCATTCACCTTTTGCCCTGAACATTCAAATATGAGCCTAAACCTCTACCAAAACTAAGACTAAGTTCATCTGGATTCATAGACTGATCACAGTGAGCGAGCTGTAACGAGGGTTTCTGCTAACAGCACATCTACCTGTACAAATGCATGAAGCTCTCCCCAAAACCTCCTAATGAACAAGAGTGGAGGTGAGAACGATGCAATTACGCGAACGCTTAAAACAAGATCTCCGATCCATTCATCGTGACATTGTTCATCTTTAAAACGTCAGCTTTTACCTGTTGGCTTTCACAGCAGATGCCTCAGGTGAAGGATGGAGAACAAACATCTCTCCGAGAGGACACCCGAATAGCACGAGTACGACACACAACACCAGATGCATGACTGCGGACTACAGGTTAACGCTGGGGTCTGTGCTGGACACTCGCTGTCACTGGAGAGGAATGAATGAATGTTATTTGTAGCGGCCTGGGAAAGCAGGGGTTTATCTACTCTGGCCAAGCTTGGCCTTGGAATACTTTACACTGTTTTCAAGTCGAGCAAATGGATGGTGTTGAAAAGGAGGTGGAGAATAAAGGTGGAACTGAGAAAAACACTATCATACAGTTACATTCTAGCAAAGACTATAAGCTCGAACCTGCAGGAGGACAGACAGAAAATATGAAAAATATCAGCAAGGAATGGCAATGCAGCACAAATAAAGAAGCTATTTATGAAACGGACCTGCATCTGTGTGATACGTGAACGTGCCTTAAAACAGAAACAGAATTAAAACAGATGCTCAGCACATGTGACCTATGTGATCAACAGGACGATGAACTTGCAACTCTGTAGTGTGAAATGCAAGAAAAGTTTGAAAATCTAATATTCATTTGAGCTGCAAATGTGCTGTTCATCAGAATATTAGCCAAAATGAATTTCAAATGGATTCCAAACTCATTGTGACAGGCTTAAAATAACAGACAAGGGTTTAAAACCTGGTTATTAACCACTAATAAGTCAATGTTTTTGCAGGGTCAAAGATAAAAATGAGAACCTGATATTTATTTGACTCTGCAGGTAAATCCAATACAAGAAGAGATGATTCCCATGTCTACGGCATATTGGCCATATACATTCAACATTCTGTCTTTGCATTAATGTTATCTCTGTCTGTCTGTCTGTTTTTCTCTTTCTGTCTGTCTCTTTCTGTCAGTTCAGTTCATTTCAATTCAATTCAAATGAACTTTATTGGCATGACTGTGTGACATATCACAATGTTGCCAAAGCAATAAATATATTATACAAACATACAAATAAATAAAGGGGGGGGCACATATACATGTCCATTACACATATACAGTATGTTTTAAAAAAAAAGTAAATGACAAGGTGAATGACTACCGAGAGCAGTGATAACTGGAAAGTGCAGCTCGTCCTCTATGAGTCCATCAGTGTGAGCACAGTCTGAGCTCTCTGACGAAAGTCTCTATATATACTATAAATATATATATATCTATAAATACTGCTCAGGTATGGTGCCAATTTATAATCCGACTTTATTTTGTGAAAATATGTTAATTTCTTTAATTGAGTTACTTTGTGCTGCCAATCATGGATGTCTTCTTGGGTTATTTTTATTTATTTGTTTATTTGTTTGTTTCTTTAACTTTTGAATGTCTACACTAAATTGTTGAATTGAATTGATGATTCAGCTGAACAGTGCATGGGGTCACTCTCTGGGTGTTTATGCCTGTAAGTAAAGCAGAGTGATGTAGCTGTCTGATAGATGGAACCGGAACTTCACTGCTCTCTTCTGGATTTCAGAGAGCAGAGGGAATCTGCCAAGTTCTGCCCTGCAGCCGAGACTTCAGCCGTTTCTATGAATCCCCAGGATGATTTTGCAGAACTCAAGGTGGAAAATTTCAGCAAGGTTTTTGTCCCATGATTCATAGTTTAGTTAAATTTGAGGCCCCAGATATCACAGAAGAATGGGTTTGATGATGCTATTGAAGATTTTCGGCCACAGTTTAATGGGTGGGTTGAATATGAACAGTGGTTTTCTTATCCTATAAAAAAACCCTGCATGCCTTATCCGTCAGATCTTTTATTGCAATTTTGAACTGTCCAGAGGCTGAGATTGCCAGACCCAAATAATTATAACAGGTGACATGATTAAGAATTGTTCCCCCAATTGTAAAATTATACTTTTTGTCAGCAAGATGAGGCTTTTTCTGAAAGATCATGATTTTAGACTTCTCCATGTTTATCGGTAAGACCCAATCGCTACTGTACGTTTCCAGAATGGAGAGGCTTTGGTACAGTCCCTCTTCATGAGCGACAGCAGCAGAAGGTCATCGGCGAACAGGAGTCAAGTCAAGTCAAGTCACTTTTATTTATATAGCACTTTTAACAATACAGATTGTGTCAAAGCAACTGTACAGCATTAATTAGGAAAATGGTGTGTCAATGCAAAAGGACAACAGTAAACACTCAATTTTCAGTTAAAGGCAGTTCATCATTGAATTCAGTGATGTCATCATCCAGCTCAGTTCAGTTTAAATAGTATCTGTGCAATCAAGTCGATGATATCGCTGGAAATTAAGTGTCCCCAACTAAGCAAGCCAGAGGAACCAAAACTCCATCGGTGACAGAATGGAGAAAAGGTAAGACCCAATCGCTACTGTACGTTTCCAGAATGGAGAGGCTTTGGTACAGTCCCTCTTCATGAGCGACAGCAGCAGAAGGTCATCGGCGAACAGGAGTCAAGTCAAGTCAAGTCACTTTTATTTATATAGCACTTTTAACAATACAGATTGTCTCAAACAACTGTACAACATTAATTAGGAAAAGAGTGTGTCAATAATTGCAGAAGGACAATAGTAAACACTCAATTTTCAGTTAAAGGCAGTTCATCATT